ATATCCTAGCTTTCCCTCCATGATAAAAGTACATTACTATTGAATGCGTTTAAACCCCAAATAGCTCCACTATTGTGTTTGTTCATTAGAGTTCGCAGACCATAGGTGCTTCCTGAGCATACCGCTTTGCCGTTTAACCTTTGGCTGTAGAGACGGTGGGAGATTGCATAACCCACTAAAATTTTGTCGCGGTGTAATGCAAATCAGTTCTATTAATATACTTTTTTAAAAACCTTTTATTAACACCTTATTAACATCTTTTTAAAATAATCTTTTTCTCCGCCAAGCATAGTCGTTTGCTTCTAATCTGGGTAACCATTTCCACATTCACTCAGGTGTTTTATGATTTCAGAACTAGCAGAAGAAGAATTGACCGCTCTTTTGCGCTCCATTATTCCGTCGTGCAGGCAACGGCCAGTTTGACCCACATACGAGAACCCACAGCCCGCAGGTATCACGTATACTACGCCATCTTACAAATGGTTGCCGCATCTTAATGTTTTTTTTTTGGTAACCTTGCTTACTTTCCAAAAAAAGAGATAGCCTACTTAATTTCAAATCATTAAAAAAAAACTCGTGCACTATGACTTTCTGCTGATGCCCGCAATTTGTGTGGGGCACAATGAAAGAACGACAGGCATACCAACTTATCAGGCTTCTTCCTAGGCTCTGTAGGGTTGTTTAAACAAACCAGAATATGTTGCAACACACTTAATCGAACGCTTAAATTATACCCTGAGGCACTCAACATCGACATTCGAAAGTAGATGCTTGCTTGATTGTAGTGGAAGCAGGGCTTATTGAAGGCACTTTTGAGGAGAGAACATAATACTAATTTTTTTTTTTTTACTGCGCAAAGAAGCTTGAACGATTTCTCTCTCTCCGAATTTTCATTCACTCTCTTGACAAACTTTGTCGAATCTAAACCCGGTTCGCAACTGCAAACCCTTAGCAAAAAGAGGCCGTACTTCAAATGAAGTTGAAATGTATTGAATACGAGTATTCATTTTGTATTCATTCTGTATTATTTTGGCCGCACTCGAAATAAGCGCGTAATGTATTTAAAGTTAATCATAAATATCATTCAGAAACTGTTTCAAATACAGCAAAAATATAATTCTTTCAATGTCAAAATACCATCGGTGTATTCAAAACTGACCAAAAACTCATTTACAGCTTACAGCTAAAGAATTTAAAAGTTGTCAGAAATGTAATGCTAAATATGCTAAAAATGAAGTAAAAATATGCTAAAATTATATCTGAAATATATCAAGAATTACTAGATTGTATGGTAGAATAGCATTTTAAGTAGGTCAAAAATTACCTTCAAATATACTAAAAGTGACTTGGAAGTATGTACCAAAAATACTAACCAAATCTATTTTACATGCATCTAGATAATACGATATTAATATGCGTGAACTACTGCTCCAAGCCTTCCTGGTTGTAGTGGTGTTCGGCTGCACACATACCGTGAGTAGAAATGTTACATGGTTTGCTCAACTAACACACCTGAGAAAGTCAAGGTGCCCAGTTGGGACAGCTCAACAAAAGAGGTCTGTGCCAAGTGTCTCATCATGCAAAGCAGGATTGCAAAATAACCCAGAGCTCAGTTACAATTGTCAATTTTTTTTATTTCTCAGTGATACGATTCAGAAATAGGCAGGCTTCTTCTTCAGGGAGGAGGCCGCATTGTTGCACTTTCGTCTTAGGTACCTCCTGATATTCCCCTCGCATTCTCCAGGAAATTTGTTCATGACGTAGACTGAAAAGAAACAAGTCAAATAATTACATGAGGCTTCTTAAGTTTCTGAAAGAATCTGATCAATCATTAGTCTCTATGGTACAGTAAATAACAGTGTTCCAGGGCCGGCCACGTACCTTACTAGAATCAACATCCCAGCTGAGACTGTGTTAAAGAAACACAACGCACACCTAGTGTATGCGTGAAGTAGAACGCTATAGACAACTAGCCTCAGCTGAGACCAGATCAAGCAAGCTGGTTAAGGGGTTTTGATACTGTATAAGTGGTAATCATTAAGAAAATGGCCATTGGTTTTCTCGTTATTCCAGAACATTAGCCCAAAGGAGGGATTGGGAATACACAATCACATTTTCATTTAGAACCTAGTCCTAACAACACTAATGTTTTTAGAAAGCAGTGATGTGATTTATTCGTCATTTTGTACCACCTTATGGAGCAGCTAAAAGTCTGTCTTAGATCAGCAAAATAGCTATTTGCAGATCTAAGACAAAGCTAAGTATAAACTTTACTCTCATTCGTTCCAGTCCAATTATAAGATTCATATCAGATCAAAGACAATGCTCCTTTCCCACCTCTCTGCATCTGCTATTAGCATTACGGAAGACAGCATTCAACCCTCAACTGGCCTATGTGCTTAAAATCTTCAGACACAGGAGCAAGGATGTCATAAGAAAAGCCTTTTTCTAGGTATTGTTGTAGCAGCAGTCTTATACACAATTGGATTGAATGATGTAGAGTGACTATCTGAAAATTTATTCGAAGTATGAATTTGATGGCAAATTTAGTCCGCTGAAATTGTGTGAGACTATAATAAACATAGTAAATAATTGTATGCTTTATTCAAGTTCAGAAGTTAAAAAAAACTACAAACCTTGATAGCTACAAAATATTTTCACATAACTGTGCTTACTAATGAAATAGTTACACAGAGATTCATGATTACGGCAGATCACATAGGCAATGACTGTTGTCTTAAAAACCCAGAACTCTCTAAAGTTGTTCTCAAACCTCCCTTTCACTGCTGAAGTTGGCGAAGGTATAAGTTATTTGTGACAGTACACTTGGGACAGCTCGAGGCCTATACGAAAATAGGAACTAAATGAGCGATTTCACATAAAAGCAAAACATACATCCTATTGCAAGGCTGGGCACCACTACCATTTCTTTGGTGGTGCAGGTAAGCATGTGCAGTTGCAAGCTTTCCAAACTTGCCGTTACACACCTGCTGCACGTGCTTGCATGCTCGAAGCTCCCGCCAGAACACAAGCTCACAATTAATTCAGTTTTTAAAGGGATACTTCAACGAAATTTGAAATATTCCCGTCGTGTTCAAAAATAGGTTCAATATGATCCACAATATCCGTAAATGACAATTGCACGTTTGTATTTTGATCCGGGTGGCTGTATTTTTCGTTTTAAACGGCCCACACTGGCAAGCGCTCGGAGAAGGCCCAGCGGAGACCACGTGACATCCAACGCAATCGTGACGTAGGTCGTCTCGGGACGAGAAAAGCTACGGCGAGGCTGATGTCGAGAGGATGGCCTAGTCGTTCCAGTCACCAAAGCGGCTGCTTTGTACGAATTTTGAGTGACGGGTTAATCTTCTATAATCTTGTAGGGGGACAATAGCGAATTCTGTGACCCACAAAAGAGATTCTCGGGAAGAGGGGGGTTCCTCCGCCCCTCTTCTCTGTACTGCCAACCAATTTTGTACAAAACTGCAAAGAGTATGCCAGTTTCCACAGAAAGATAATTTGGATAGCATATTATTTGAAGCACTAATTGAAAGCTTTTTGTAAATTTACACAAACCCACCGTAACAACGCAGCAGTGTAAGGCTTCTGAGCTTGTGGTATCTTTAAAGCAAAATAAGCTTCTGTGCAGTTCTGGCTCAAAATTTCCAAATGTTGATAAAATGTAGCATGATGTACCAGGGTTAATATTTTGGGGCAAATGGCGCAGCAATCACATAAACTGATATAGCTTTGTCTGCAGAGTTTGGACTACGTTAAGAGCTTCAGAGTCGAATCATACTTCAAATGGTCGTCACACGCAGATAAGTTAACAAGGCCAAGTACAGACATCCTCACCGACAATGTCATCCACAGTTTCTTTGTGCAGGGGCTCTTTTCCTTCTCCAAAGGTCGAGCCCCTCAGGCTTTGAGTGCCCAGGGTCGTCTGGCCGAAAACCATCTCTGCCAGTTCTTGTGTGAAAATTGACGGCCCAGCGTTTTGTAGCCTTACCATCCTTATGGCAGGCAAAAGTGTGTTGCCAAACTTCAACTGTGACGGAGAGAAAGGACAGATGACAGGTTTTAGACTTAAATCGTTCCATACTATAAATCAAATTTATGAGGTGAATAAAAAAAGCAATTCAGTGTGTTTACTCCCGAACTAAGAGAACAAGCAACACACCCGAGTGTGCTATTTGAAAGCCTCTGGCGTCGCTTGAAGCTTTCTTTAAACTGCTTTCAGTTCAATCATATTCACACCAAATTTGCCTTGCAGCAGCATCCTATTTCATGGAAAGGGGTCTTTATTGGGAAACCGTTACCGTTACAAAGGAATGAGAAAACAAGGAATAGCTCCGAAACCAGAAACAAATTTAAAAGAAGTTTTGAATTTGAATCTTAAAAACCTCTAAGACAAGTGGGCTGCTGGCAAAAATCCCACGTTCAGAGACCTCTGCACTAAACTATAGTCGGGAACAAGATCTGAAGAACAGGATTCAATTGTCCCACCTCCTGTGCACGCTTCCAGCCTTCCACGATGCATCACTCTTCCTGTGTGCACTAGCAGCCAAATTTAAACGTAAGACAATGAGCGCATGCTGGAGGCAGGACAATGAAAAAAGACGCCCTGTGCTTCTTGTGTTGTCACTGGCTAAGGGTCTAACCACTTGCACGATTTTCCTGTTTGAACAGAAGTCTCCAGATCATGACATATACGTCAACATCAATGAAATCCTAAAGAAAAAAAAAACCAAGAACACCTCCAATAAAAAGTTGGGCAAATTCAACAGGCCCAGCTTGACGGACTGCGCATTTTACGATCATGCTGTTAGTATCTCTTGCCAAGGCCGTGTGCGCTGTGCGCACACGGCCACTTTAGATAAAAGCATGCATGACTGGATGCTTACAGGTTCTACTGAATGCTTAATGAGGTACTACTAAAACTAAAAAGAAGCTAAATCTGGAATTTCACTATAATAGAGCTGAACACCACAGTAGTAAAGTCAATCTAGACTTACAGTCTCAGCTGGTCCATTGTTGGCAGCTGTTGCACCAGCCGCCACACCAGTTAGCATTTTATCCACAATGCCTGGAAGCCCTACAAAACAAAAGCACACTATATGAAGTGAACATGTTAGCACTGCTTCAATGGTGCCATACATATTTGTTTGATGCACTTGGGATGACACATAAAAAACGTCACCTCCTATAGACCGTTCCATTAGGGTCATAGCAGAGAGGGTAATAGAGAGAAAAAATGCCCTCTCCCTCTCACCCCGCATGTCGCCTGCTCCACCGAGTGGGCAGTACCTGGCATCCGGCTGGCGTGCAAACTGTTTAAAATCGCGTCATTTTGGAAATTTCAAGCGCAGATGCGCAGATTTTGGCGTGCCAGTTATTGTGTAATACTATGCTAGATAAAAAGACTAACAGGGTCCAATTGTAATGTTACCTGCGTGCAAATAAAAAAAAATATATATATAAGGAAAACTGTCAGATTGGTTGGTCTCTACGGCGAAAATTAAATTCGGTTGCTGTACCCTTTTTTTACTATGCAAAGTTTGTACTGGTGTAGGCCTTTACCGACCATGGGTGGAAGTCTCAAATAATAAATTAAACATGCTCTTTTGCCGCAATACACATTGTAGTTGAGGGTAGTACTGCCGGCTGACTCAACTATACTATTGAAATAACGGAAAAAAAGATATGCTAACATTGAAAAACGAGCGTGTTGGTAAATACTTAGACCAGTGGATCTCAAATGGGGGTCCGCGAAGGCATTCTAGGGGTCCGCGAAGCCCTACCTCATCTGTCAAGCACGGCAATAAAAGTTGTCTTTTTTCAGGTCGAGAAGAAATGTTTCCGCTTTTGGCGAGTTTTCTCATGTCTATGTCAATAAGAGAGGGCTACTTTATACTAGCACTCAGTTATTTCTATATATTAAATCATTATTATATTTAACCGATACATTTCCCCTCCTCTCACCACGAAAGGGGATCCTCCATCAGCTCCGCCGATTCACAAGGGGTCAGTGAAACATCGATGGTTGAGAACCACTGACTGAGACAACCGGAAAGAATAAACACGAATTTGGGACGCAAACAGACGATACAACTCTTTCAACTCTCATCGACACTCGCACAACACCGCACATCGCCTCAAGGGACTCGCCTCTCGCTTCGAGGTAGGGGTAGTGTTTAGCTGCAAGCAAAAGCTTCAACAAATGTGCAGAATGGTGAATACCCCGCCCTCCGCGACTCAATGCAACAAGAAGCACGGACAGCAGTTTGTTAAGTGCAGGAAAGAGGTGGTTTATGCCATCCCTTTCTCGTGTGGCGGGGAGTATATAGGGCAGACCGGGAGGTGTCTAAATGACCGCCTGAGTGAACACTCGCGGGAGGTGAGCAAACCCCCCCGACGACTCCATGCACCCAATAGTTGTACATCGTATGACGTGCGACGGTTGTTCGCCCAGATACGAAGGTACGCGCGTATTGGGAGGACACCAGCAGAGATTTGGCAGGGAAGTCGCCGAATCGTACGCCATTAAGAGCTCGGTAACTAACGTCGCCTCACCCTCTCTGGCCCTTTCCGACAGGGAGATGAAATTCCTCCGTCCCGAACTGGGCGGAGGGGACCAGAGACCTTGATGGAAGGCCGCGAATAACCCGTTTTTTCCCCTCCTCCTTTTTAAACCCCCCCCCCCCCCTTTTTCCTTCTCTGCTCCCTCCCCAGAATTGAACCATGGTTAAAAGCGCTAAAAAAAGACGTACACAAGATAGAATACAAACACGGGCGCTACTCACAACTGTATTGGGAAAGGAAGATGGAAGTACATATATATATCTATATTTGATACACTTACCGTCACCCAGGCTACTCATGCGCGAGATACAAGAGCATGAAACCGTTTACATGTATTTATCGAAAAAACGAATCTCAGCGTTATACAATGCTATTGACGTGTCACTGACGCACTGGGGTCCCCTGTTCTTGATAAAATATTCTCTTGCAGTTTGCGTGCCCTTTGAATTCTGCTTCTACCGAGAATCTTGGTATCACCGAAGCGTGGCTCGCATTTGCAGACCCTACAGTGCGCGGGCAAATGTGCCCTGTCATTTGTCTTTAAATTTTGCGCATGCTCTCTTAAACGCTCATTCGTGCATCTTCCCGTTTGTCCAACGTAAGATTTTCCATACGTTAGGGGGATTTCATACACGACCCCTGTGGCGCATTCGATGTACGGCCTGGCGTGCTTCGTGCCACATCCTCGCTCGTTCTTGATTTCTTTAGTAATTCGAGGGCAAAGTTGTCCGAGTTTCCTTGGCGCTGAAAACACGAGAGGTACTCCGTACCCGTTCGCAACCTTCTTGAGGTTGTGCACCATTTTGTGTACATATAGTACAACCTCTGGCCTCATATTGCTCAGTGCCGACTGCGTCACTTTCTGGTTGTGTGCCCTTTTACTTTCTGTAGGGTGGCCTCTGCCACACTTGTCAAGACCGTTTGAGGGAAGCCCGCTGACAATAGTCTAGTCAATTGGTTGTGGAAGCTGGCCTGCATGCGGTGAGCACACGACTTCTTGATAACTGACTCTAGGCAGAGCGTTGCAATTCCTCTCTTTACCACCTTAGAATGCGCAGAGTCATATGGCAGGAGTGTTTTTTGGGATCGTGGGGAATACATCCAACACACGTGTCCCTCCTGCAACTTCAAGCTCGGGTCTAAAAACTGTAGGTGATCCTGGTTGGGAGCTGGTTGGTTAAACGACATGGTAAGGGCCTACATTTTACACATGGACTCCCTAACCAGGATCACCTACAGTTTGTAGACCTGAGCTTGAAGTTGTAGGAGGGACACATGTGTTGGATGTATTCCCCACGATCCCAAAAAGCGCTCCTGCCATATGACTCTGCGCATTCTAAGGTGGTAAAGAGAGGAATTGCAACGCTCTGCCTAAAGTCAGTTATCAAGAAGTCGTGTGCTCACCGCATGCAGGCCAGCTTCCACAACCAATTGACTAGACTATTGTCAGCGGGCTTCCCTCAAACGGTCTTGACAAGTGTGGCAGAGGCCACCCTACAGAAAGTAAAAGGGCACACAACCAGAAAGTGACGCAGTCGGCACTGAGCAATATGAGGCCAGAGGTACTATATGTACACAAAATGGTGCACAACCTCAAGAAGGTTGCGAACGGGTACGGAGTACCTCTCGTGTTTTCAGCGCCAAAGAAACTCGGACAACTTTGCCCTCGAATTACTAAAGAAATCAAGAACGAGCGAGGATGTGGCACGAAGCACGCCAGGCCGTACATCGAACGCGTCACAGGGGTCGTGTATGAAATCCCTCTAACGTGTGGAAAATCTTACGTTGGACAAACGGAAAGATGCACGAATGACCGTTTAAGAAAGCACGCGCAAAATTTAAAGACAAATGACAGGGCACATTTGCCCATGCACTGTAGGGTCTGCAAATGCGAGCCACGCTTCGGTGATACCAAGATTCTCGGTAGAAGCAGAATTCAAAGGGCACGCGAACTGCAAGAGGCATATTTTATCAAGAAGAGGGGACCCGAGTGCGTCAGTGACACGTCAATAGCACTACCACTGACACGTCAATAGCACATCGAACTATTGACAAGTCAATAGTTCGATGTGCTATTGACGTGTCAGTGGTAGTGCTATTGACGTGTCACTGAGTCAATAGTGCGATGTTCCGTACAGCCCGCCGATACAGCTCAAAGATGAAGAGTGGCAACCTCCCGTTTTGTCGTCTGCTAGCGGGGTCGGGCTTGTGCCCTCTCTCTCGTTTTACCCTGCCGAACCCGCTGAATTTCCCTGATGTATGGAGAGGGCGCTGCTGTCGAACAATATGGTGCCACCCAGAGAGCGCTAAATGGAATGGTCTATTTGCATTAGAAGCTTGGCAGCAGACTTTGCTTGTGTCTCAGAACTCTTGGCCATGGTTCCTATGACCTAGCTATTTCAATGAGCAAGAAAGGGTATCCATAGCTCTAGCCTTGTCTATACTACTGGGTAAGCCTGCAAGTTCAACAGTAGAAAATTAAACTTTCTGGCAGGAAGGAGGTAGCAAACGCCATTCGGTCAACTCTAGCTATTTTTTTAAACCAAAAGTTCTCGATCCTCTTTATCTGAGGCGTGCTTTCCCCTCTCAGTTGTGCAATGATGCGTGTGTACAGCAAAGGATGGCTGGGCCAACTGGGTAGCGATGGAAGCCTCAATTAAGAAACAAGTCCCCCCCTCCCACCAAATACCACAAAGAAGACAGACCTGTGTCGGAGAAGAGTTGCTTGCCTCCTGGCTCATGCTATCTCTTTCTTAGTTTTAACAACCAGCTACAATGTAACCTTGCAACCTACTTTATGTAGACAGAAGACACCCGACACCATACCCTGTCTATAAATCATTCGCTACAAACGTGTACTCCCCACAAAGTACTAAGAGGGGAACATTTGTAGATCTCGGGTGGTCCTGTTCAAATGAAATATCTAGCATCATCAGCCTACTACACTGAGCAGTAAAAATCACTCCCTGTTACTTTATCATCATCCGAGGGTAAGGAGAACAAACGTTTAGACCTCCTTCTGACATTTATGATTCATACCTTCCAGCAAAGGGAAGAGTGTGTTCACTGCAAACAGTGCCTTGCCCTCCGCTGCCACCGCTCGTGCCTCGCTGTCATATAGCTGGGCTTGGAGGTCTTCGAGGTTCTTCTCCAACTGCGCCGCTCTTTCCTCGGCTTGTGCTGCCCTCCTTTCTGCCTCGGCAGCCTTGGCCTCGGCTTTCGCTGAGCTTGCCTCAGCTGCGGCAGCCCTGGCCTCAGCCTCGCCTTCATCGGCACTATCCTCCGTGCCACCACTGGCAGAAGCAGGACCCTCGCCATCTGGTCGTGAGACTTCCTGGGTTAAAGAAATTTTTTTTTTTTTGTGTGTTTAAGACAAAGAATTGAAAGACGTTTACGCTTCTCTGTAACGCGAAATTAGAGCGCAGCTCTTGAGGTGTTTTGAATTTGCGATTTATAGTGGTAATGAATTTCGTTATATATATTTCTGTTACACCTATACCGTACAATACCGCGCATCCGCCCATTCCACATTAAGCGCCCGTATCCAAGTTTCTAAGATAGGAAAAAATATACACAGTACATTTATACGTAAAATTCATGACCGGACAAGCGCCCATCCCCCATTTTTTCGCAATTCTCTAAATTTTGAGTGGGCGCTTGCCCGGTATTTTACGGTAAGTGGTGCATAATTATAAACCAATTATTTAAAGCAGGTAATCATGTGGCATCACAGGATCATGCAAAATCACATGAACACATAACTTTACGTGATAATATTACTTTACCTAACCACACAAGGTTCCGTGATCACGTGACTTTACGTAATTACGTGAAGTTACATGATCATATAAACTTACATGGTTACGAAAAGTTACATTATCACAGAAGGTTACTTTACGTAATGTCAGGTTACATAATCATGTGACATTGCGTAATCACGCAATGTTACGTGATTATGCATCCGTACACTCCCCTCCTCCTCCTCCACACCCTGCCCACTCTTCTTCTGGTGACGCCGACACTGTGAAACACAGGAACGGGCGTCTAAGAGCAGCGCTCTAAAAGCATCTGAAAATCATCCAAAAACTATGCTTTCCCAGATTTACAAATAGTTTTGACGATGCAGCTTTTGAAACAAAGTTTTCAGCACGAAGAGTGTGTTATGCATACACAGTCAGCTCAAGCAACTGCTCTGATAGAACTGAATCCCATTTTAGTAAAAGTTGTTTATCACCTTGACAAACTCCAATCTCAGCCGCTGTAGTACGCGGTCCTCAAGGGTACTTCCTTTCCGCTTTCCGGTCTTCTAAAATGGAAGGAGGAATATTACAGACCGCATAGAAAGACAGAAAAAAAACTCTTAGGAAGCAGACATTCATGCTTGTAACCATATCCTGAACAAATAAACATACCACATTCAACCAATCATTAGTTGAAAAATGTATTAAACAAGGTTGTCCTAATGTGGTGATATTGCCTGAAACAAGTCAAAATAAATTACTCCCTTCAGCTATGGAATTCAGTGGATAGCGAACCACCAGCCTCCTTTGAGCATCTAAGCCATGCATGCTACTATACCCCTTGGACACGAGCAATCTAATGTCATCTCCATGGAATGTCATTCGGGCAATGGGCGAATCTGCTAGCAATCCTAGCTCAGCGCGTGACGCACATGTCGTGATGCATGGAAGGCATTTGATTGCTCGTGTGCAAGGTGAGCTGCATGTTGTTAGTTCCTTTAGATTAGAGCGATGTAAATGACACTCTCAGATCAGCACCACCCAAGCAGCTACAAAGGCCTCTTGTGCAGTGGAGTGATTATATAGCGTAAGCGCAATGAGCATTACCTACTTTAAATCAAAGTAAAAAATAAGCCTAGAAAGCTTAACACGAGGTTGGTTCACAGAAAACTTTGGGTTTCAATTTGCAACTTTCAAGCGAGACAATTTGCAAACTATCAATGAACCTGCACTCGCTGTTAAAACAGAGGTTCAGGCGGGTTGGTTGTTCATGATATACAAGGGAACAGCACACCCCCAAAACAAGCACTCAGAAGTCTGATGCAGACAAAAGAAAGAAATACTTACACAGCGCTGTCTAACAACTTTTGTGTGTGTTAGACTTCTGAGTACTTGTTTTGCGGGTGAGCTGTTCCTTTGTGCATCATGCCCTTGCTGTCCTCAAAAAATTTTATTTGTACTTAAGTCTGAAACTTTACACTTCACAAACTTGTACTTAATAAAAATATTGAAAATATTTTAATTTTTCTAACCTAAGCAATGTTTGAGACTGTCAAACTCAAACTTTGAAAAAGCTCAAGCTTTAAATTTTGCAAACTGAAACTCAAGCCGTGGCAGAAATTGAAAGCTGCAAATTTTGCATATCTGAAGCTCGGCGAGATTCAAAATGTCTAAAATGTTTCGAACTCGAGGTATGTAGCATATCTATTTTGTACACAGTAAACATAAAGAAAATAATGCAGTACATTTTCAGACTATCAAGGTCAGGCATCAAGATAGTCAATCTCTTTGTTAATAGTGCCACACGCGTCGGCGAGCAAGCGCGTGCGTGGCCGAGTGGTCACCGCGCTTGACTGTTGCACGGAAGCTGTAGGTTCGATTCCAGTCAGCGGACTGTCCTTTTATTTATTCTTTCAACTTGGCGTTCTCGTAAGTTCAAGAACATTCTCGTCTGATTAGGTTACGAGTATCCTATGCATTGAAAGTTCTACCCATATGTTGGAGAAACCCACGAGGGTATACATTAGGGACTCTGCATGGCGAGCGGAGGCAGTCTCGCCCCAGCTTTCGACTCTGCTGTTACGCTGACTTCAATGCCCGCGACGTACTGCTGTTATCTTGTTCCCTTTTTATTTTTGGCAGTTATTTGTTTCACCTCGTTATTCGTGACAATAGTTGTAAAACATATGGACACATATACAAAAAATTTAATGTACCATAGCTGCCATGAGATGTCAAGAAAACAATAGATATTCACCTTGGCAACTTTGGATGAGGCATCATCCCCATTTGTGGCGGCCAGCATCTCATTCAACAAAGATTCCAGGTCACTGCGGATTGCTGACAAGAATATACATATTAGGATTTCTCCCAAAATAATCCCATCTGAACACATTGTTCAGTGTTTGGCAAACTTATACGGAATACTTGTGGAATATTAAATGCAGAAAAAAGATAAAATACGAGAGAACTGCGCATATTTATGTGAACTGAAGGTACGCTACGGACATAGTGGGAGAGAAAGAGAAATAGCTTAGGGCTAGCACAAGCTATGCACGGACACATAGAAAAAAAAAATAAAATAGAACAAACCAAGAGTAGGCTTAGGCCTCATTCACACAGCCGTTTTTTCCCCCAGCCCAGCGAAAACGCCGGCAGTCTTTTCCGCGGGGGAGAGGGTGTTGGAACCGGTTTCCGGCCGAAATTAGGGCACCAGACCCGAAAAGGGCCCAACGAGGATGTTCAATGTCCACGGCACCGGCGAGAGGTTGAGATCACCGGCACCCCGCCCCGTCCAGGGACGACCAAACACAAAATAGGAAACTTTCGCTGGATCTGGCGGATTTTCAAAAGTTGGGTGACCATGGGCACGGCCGCGGGAGAGAGAGTTGACCGTACTGTGCCCTAGCGCCCTAACGACGAAGCCAACAAAGCTCTTTTCGGGAAGGAAGGAGGCCTACGAGACGACGGGCGCATTGTGTGATGTTTACGGCTCTTGAACAACGGGCATAACGATATTTGGATTTACCGCTGAGCTGCTGCTCGAAATGGTGAGACCACATCGGTTCCTTTGCGATGGACGTAAATGCGATTTTAAGGAAGAACAGCCGAAGAAAGAAAATATGGTCGTTGATCATCGGGGACGAAATGCGGCGTAAGGAGTGATTGATGTGAAACGTGCTCGCGGTGGGTCTTGTCGTTTTTTTTCGAAACGTGGAGACAAATAAAATGTTTTGAAACATGCCAGATCGTTATCGGCGACAAAAACGCAAGGTCCAAGGAACAAAACAGGTGTGGCTGCGGCCATCGACGCCGATCGTCCGCTGCATTTGGTGGTCGACGCCGCCACAAAGCAGCCATAAATACGGGATTACAAGATTGGTAGTAGAGATTGAGGGAAGTGTGAAATTGCGCACGAAATAATAGGTTGGTCGTACCGGTTATACAGTTTTACGGGATCCAAACGTTCGACGTGGAATTTGAAAGGTGCAGAAAGATTTCTAAGCTAGGTGACGCAAGCTACCGCCCAATATAAGGGGGCACAGCCGCCAGCATCTATCTATTCCTATAGTCACTGTCGGCAGTTGCGCCGCCGCTGGTTCGAACACTCCTCCGTCCCCGCACCGTCCCGTTTTCGGCACGGCGCTTTCGCCGGGACAGGGCGAGACGCCGGCTGTGTGAATGAGGCCTTAGATTGTGTTCCAGGCTTGCTGAGCACTGTACACTGCTCTACATTGTTCCTCAGCTCAGAGCTTTGATGGAAGGTGGACTAGGTCCAGAGGTTATTGTAGTTTCTAAGCTCTTCTATCTATAGTCCGTTGCAACCTAACAACGAAGGGCGAGGGTAAGACGGGCCGGGGAGGAGGAAGCAGACGGAACGCTAAAGAGAGAAGGAGGTTTCCCCCTCTCTTCTCCAGCATTCCGCTGGAGAAGAGAATTAAAATACAACTATTCGTTCAGGACGTTAATAAAAATCGTCAGGAAAGCAACAACTGTCAAATTAAGCGACTGATTTTAGAGACATGTAGAAATTTGTTAATGCCTGCGTGAATTGAGTAACGGGAACAACAGTGTGCTTGCGCTCTTGTTCCATTCAAAATGCCAACGCGTTGGCAGTGCGGTGTCATTTTAGTTCTGGTGATCGCATCAGGGCCCAAAGTAGTCATATAAACGAATCAAATCTAAATATCTCGCTGGGAAAACTCTCAGTTTGCACAAAGCACAGAGAACGAGGTTGGTCTCTCCCCCTCCTCCCCCCTCCCTCCCCCCCGGCTTACGTTGACCCTCGACCTTTCCAGTTTGGGCTATTTGGCCCCCACACTCAAATGAGTTTGAGACCACTGATCTAGACAATGAGACAGTTAAAAAAATACAATAGACACTACATTTTGGATAGTGTTGTCCGTTATTTCAGCTTTCCTTCTCTCAGGATTTAGACTGATTTATCCTAACCAGCTTGCCCATATGCTTTCGCTTGTTGCAAAAATTTTGATATTCAGGACCAAGGCATATTCAGGACCAAGGCTGTTCAGACTAAAAAACTATAAAGGCATCCTGAAATCAGGATATATGGAAAAAGAGGCAAAAAGGGCAGGGCATATGACACAGGGCTTTTGAGATTGAGTGCTTTCATGCGCCGGCTGGATTCACACAGACAAAGCTTATCTATACGCAGATTTAAAAAAAGCTGCCTAAAAAATCGATAATTTATGAACTTTCAAAATTAAGCAGTGGGTGTTCACAGGATTTCTATATGATACTGCTGCATGCATGGCTTAAATTGACGTCACCTGAGCTACCATTGTGGGGGCCTTGTTGCCGGGCGAGTAGCTTCTGCAGCAATCACTTTACATTATTGCATTTGCCTCTTCAGCAAAAACAAGTCGGAACAACCTCCAGCACAGCCCAATGACGTCATAAGCAAGCCATGTACTGCTGTTTACTACTGCCTATGTGAAACAGCTCCAACAGAGGAAGATTAGCAGAAGTGACCGATGACCGAAGTGGCAAGATCGCGACGCCATTGTTCCCAAGCGGGGCGATAGCAAGAGTGCCGGGCACGTTTCATGTTTCAAAGCTGGGATGAATGGCAGAAAGCAGTCCATCCCAAGGCCCATATTTTGAAAGCTATCTTATCCTTCCCTTTTCGGCCGAGCAATGGAGCACCGCAATTCCGCACGTGAGCCCGTTTATTTTATTTCATTTTTCTATTTTATTGCTCAGGTGTTGTTAGGCGGCGGTATTTTCTTTATTGCAGTTTTCCCCTAAACTGACAATTTGCTGCACGACAGATTGGCAAAGGTTGTGGGCGGCACTGCCTGCATGACAGAGTAGCAAAGGTTTAAAAGCATCTGTAGTTCCCACGAATCCTGCCAAAAACGACGTAGGATGCTTTGAGTTAACGATGTGACAAGGGTTCAGATCTTGACCTTTGTGCAAGACGGTCGGATGAAAGGAGTATTGCTGCAGAGATCAGGTGCTCACTAGGAACCGTACCTCGATTGTGCATGCTTTTCTCGAAGAGGCAAGGATTAGGGACGAGGCTCGAAATGGGCACCCAAAAACGACCACGGAAGGGGAAGACAGATGGGATGTGACTGCAGTTGGCTGTGATCCTTTTATTACTGCCCAAGAGACATGAGAACTTAACCTGTAGGTGTCCCCGTCTATCATCAGAGAATGCCTTGGTTCGGTCGGGCTCCGCAGTAGAATGGCTTGCCAGAGGCCGCTCTTGACGCGAAGCCACAAGCGGCTTAGGCTGGAATTTGCCACTAGGTAAAATCTTTCCAAGTCAAATTAGCGACTTTAATTAAAACAACCTTTTCTTTTTTTCTTTCAAGGCTATAGTGCAGGAGATGCTGGAAGAACTGGGCACACAGAAGCTTCAATGGCCTCCAAAGGGAGCAGACTTCAAAATTATAGAAAATGTGTGGGGCAGGCATATAGCCAGGCACGTCCTTTTGGCGGAATTCATGGGAACTACACATGCTCTTAAACCTTTGCTACCCTGTCACGCGGGCAGTGCCGCCCACAGCCTTTGACAATTTGTTGTGCAGTAAATTGTCAGTTTAGGAGGAAACTGCAATAAAGAAAATACCGCCGCTTCACAACGCTCGCGCAAAAAAAAATGGAAATAAATAAATAAACGGGCTCAAGTGCGCAACCGCGGTGGCGCATCGCTCGGTCGAAAAGCGAGTGATAAGATAGCTTTCGAAATACGGGCTTTAGGATGGGCTGTTTCTGCCGTTCATCTTCGCTTTAAAATATGAAACGTGCCCGGTAATCTTGCTATCGGCGCGCTCGGGAACAATAGCGCCGCGTGTCGCGATTTTGCCGCTCCGGTCGATAATCACTTGTGCTCATCTTTTTCCGTTGCAGCAACACAAGTTTGGTCGTACGAAATGAACCCCGTGGAAGCTGGTTCTAACACGTACTCATGGTCAAAACAGACCCATGCAGCGGACCCGTACACAGCGCGACTGATAGCGCGAACAAGCGGTCGTGGGTTTCCAATGATCTTGCCATGGAATCGAAAGGCCCTCATCAACTCTACTCGTGTGACAGCAAGTGCTCGTCTGGGGCATAATCCGAAGCGCTAAAATTCGGTCCCTACCAATGCCATATCTTGCGGAAACCGGCAATGTCGTGTTCGCGCCCACAATGTCGCGCAGTAGTTAATTGATCATGGCACTTCATGCAGCCTCGATACATGCTTCAAAAAGTTTGGTGGAAATATATACTTACGGCTGAACTTCACGACCTGGGCGGCCAGCAACTTGGACGTACCCGTCGCCCGCCCGGTCTTTTTGTCCCCGTCGGGCCAGTTGACTTTCACCCAGTTATTCTTCTGGGTTGGACCGCTGAATTCCGGCCACGTTTTGGAATTATGCTTTACGACTGGGTCATAGTATTTAATTAACTTTACGGACTCTACCGATAATGACTCATCAGGAAACCTGAACAGTGCGAACTTGTCCATTGCCGGCGTTTCCCTTCAGGTTAAAACAAAGCGAACAACGCACATGTACTGCTTGGTTGCGGATTGGATTGGATTGGATAGCGATGGCTGTAAAGGTACCAACGTTGCCACCGACGTTGTCTGCACACTCCAAGTTCTAAACCGCGTCCAGTTTGTTATCTTTGTAAATTCGTAATTATATGTTGCCTTTTTATTCGTTCTCCTCAAGAGAATACTTATTGTTTCTAAAGGAGATTATTTCTTCATTACTGTACGTTTTATAAAAAAGAAAAAAAAACAACATCGCAGTTCAATGACAACAAACTTGCTTGCAAAACAAGCACACCACTCATTAAACTGAGTACAAATTACCACATTCGTTAGAAATGCATGATCCCTTTCGTCAGTACCGGATGTACACACAGTGGTGTAACCTTATCATTGGCCCAAAAACCAAAATGCCTTTGTCTGTGCTCCAAATAACGGAGCATTACAAAGATACATGAATGGTAGTATAATCGAACGGCGTTTCGGCAGCGTTGATCTTTGGGAATATTGAGCGTGTTGGTTCTGCTCACGCATTGCGGCTTTCATGGCCAATGTACTATTAACAGAAATGGTAGCTGGCCCTACTGTCGAATCGTTTGGGCACCACAGACGGCGTCCGACCACAGATGGATACGAGCTCCATTCGCGAAAACATCGTTCGCTAACCCTTTTTTTTGTACACGTTAAAAAGCTTGCGCAGGATCGGAGTATTGTGTGGCAGGTTCGCAAGCTTTGAGTGCGCGCACTAAGCTAATGACACCCATTGGGTTCATTATTCCTTTGGTACGACGTGATATTCGACAAGGGTGCCGTTTGATGACTATAACAAGCCTGTTGTTCATTGATAGCAAAAGCGTATACGCTACAAGGACAGGCACGCTGCAGTACATATCTATGTTTGTACAAGCATGCACATGTCTGTCCTTGTACCGTATTTCTTTTATGACTTCATATTATTATTAGGTAGCGTTCAGCTGTCAACATATCCGACAGTATACCTTTTTAGGACGCACTGACTCCCAGGTTAACTTCCGACTGCCCAACTGCAAAACTGGTCCCAGTTATAAATTTTCGCCTGGGAGAACAAACGACAATTTCTTTGGGAACTTACTTCGTTGTCCATCTCCCCCCCCCCCCCCCCTTTTATGTGCCTTCCTTATGTTTAATCCCTTACCACTTCGACATCAGCTTTCTTTTTTCTTTCATTTCTTATCAGCTAGGAGTGGGTCCGAAGGGTCAGATCGAGGCTCGGAATACGCTACGTAGCCGAGATCATGGCGCGCAGCTCACGCAGTCTTTCAAGACAAGAGGGTATTCCTCAACCACCCTTAACGGGATGAGCATCCGCAGAAAGTTCAGAAAGAACACATATATACTTCAGTTCACAAGTTTTTTTTCCTAATAACAAAGGTGACATGCCGAGCCTCCGGCTCAGCAACACTTCCTTTGATTTCCTTACTCTTAAAACACTGACTGTTTCCCAATAAGCTGTGTGCAGGAAGGCAGAAGACACGGGTGCGAGCACGCTGCTTTCCAAAATGCCCGCGAGCACTGGGTCAAACAGAGCATTCCGCAAAAACCTGTGCTCTCGCGCTCGCGGTTTGCCTACAGTGTAGTTTTGCTGCGCACAACTCGAGCCTTCATTTCGTCATTCTTGACCAGCTGGCTTGCACCTTTGCATTTAATTGCATTATAATTCGAGCCTACGTGCAGGTTGGGGGTGGAGGGCTGTAACATATGCCTCCAAAATCTCGAAAGGCCGCCCCTTTTTGCAATCTCTTCGAACGCGATTCATTGTTCTCATAACGAGGACTGGTAGGCCTAATGAACATTGACCTCTACCTTGACGACCTCGACAGGTCGGACACAAGACGTGAGCGTTGAGCACTAGGCTGAAGGCTATAAATCAGAGGTTTGGATTTCTGGATAGATCCTATCAATCTATCTATCTTAAAAATGGAAATAGAAATTTAACCTGGTGTAAAAAACCTAGTAGCTAGATAAAATTAAAACACAGTAGTTAGGTGGCGCGAGTTACCTTCTATTTTCAGTTGGGAGTTGTACTGGTTGTACCGGTTGTGCTAGATTGTATTATTGATGGGAATATCGACAATGTTCGTGTGATACTTGCAGGGCTTAACGATATATGTAGGACATCTGCAGCATTCCCAGGCGTTCCTTTGTGCAGTTTTGCACGTGCCAGGGCACTATGTGACGCTCTGATTTGTATTTACGGAACTGCATGCATTTCCTTCTGACTCCGTGACTGGGAAAAAGCAAGGAAAAGACGCTAGGCCATGCCTTCAAGGTACAAACGCCACCTCGAACAGGATGTGCCCTTGCTCAGAAAAACTGAAAGTCGGCGCTTCAAAATGCAAGCGTTAGCTGCCGGGACCCCTCCGACTGTGGCCTTCTCTGGTATCGGAGCTTCTGAAGTCGCCGACAGCTCGCGATGTGACGAGGTCTCGGAAGGCGACTGCACTAGTGGCGAGGAAGCAGGACACACCAAAGAGGTAAATAACGCGCTTTTTGGTGCTGTAAGTTGTATTTACGCACTCGCGCAGTACTCCCTCCAGTGGCGTCACAAGGGGGAGGGCGGGGGCGAGGCGGTGGACGGACGTTGCTGCTCCCTACGGTGTTGGCCTCGCGTGGTTCGTCTCAAAGGATTGTGTATGTGCGTGTGCGCGCGCGTGCGTGGTGTTTTTTTTTTTTTGGGGGGGGGGGGGGTGCTTAGTCTTGGTCTTGGTCTTGGTCTTGAATTTTGTGGTGTCTTGGCCTCGGTGGAGGCATCGTGATGCAGTCACGCAAAGCCGGATTGCAACCGATAACATAATTTTTTCTTCAGTAATCTCATCACTGTCCCTGTGTCCTGGCTCCACCTTTTCTGCCCCCGTCCTAGGCCTGGCCTTACAGGTCCTATTTTTTTGCGGCTACGTGGTGCTAGCTGTGGGCTGGCAGATAATCCGACAACACCACTGATATTACATTGCAGCTCATGGTTTCTGGGTGGGTGGTTTACCGGGGACAGAGAGGAAGGTGGGGAGGTGGGGGTCGGGTTAAGCGCCGTTCACACTTTTGCGACCCGAGAGAGACCAGACCAGTTTTTAAGTCTTTTGCGATTTCTTAGGACCGGATGCGCTGCAGCGGAGCTCGTCCTAAGAGATCGCAAGAGGCTTAAAAACCGGTCTGGTCTCTTTCGGTCTTACTCGGTCGCAAGATTGTGAACAGGCCTTTAGGCTCAGGCTTAAGTTAGTGTACCACGATGTCACATGCTTTGTGTAGGAGTGCAACACGTAGACCCAATCTGAGCCCAGGCCTTACCCGAACTCCGTACCCCTGATCTATCCTCTCTCTCCCCCCTTGCACAATGCACTCAGGAACTACGAGATGCATTGTGATCTAAAAACTAGGCCCCCCCCCCCCTTCCACCCAGAACCCCAAAAGACAAACCACGTGAGGCGGCGAACCCCACCCCGCAGGGAATATTGCCCGACTAGCGACATTAACACCCCCTATGACATTAATGTCGCTGGTCAAGTGGTACTCTCTGCTGGGTGGGCTTTGCCACTTCGTGTGGTTTGTCTCGAAGGGTTCTAAAAGGATGAGAGTAATGACAAATCTCGCTTATCAGCCATGCCATTTAGTAGTTTCTGTGCCTTTGAAAGTATACACGAATTGGCAGCTGGTGTAAGCTGCGCCATCAGATTACATTGCCTTTCGTTGTTTTTGGGTGCTTGGTTCATGGGGGACGAGTGGGAGTTGAGTTGGAGTCTAAATGTTTGTTGGGTGTATCCGGAACCCGAATGGAGCCTAAAGATGTGTCTACTTATGCAGAACTGGGTGTCTAAAGATACTTTAAGCGATTTATTTTTCGTGGGCTCAATATTTCACGATTTAGGTCAAAGCTGAAGTTTTGAAATAATTTGTGGGTCCTAATTTTAGTGACGCAGTGGAATCTCAATGTAGATTCCAGTGTGTTTATATCTTACCGAAATTGTTTGCGGGACTTATTTTTCGCAAATTGTTGGCGATTTGCAAAATTCACAAAAATTAAGTCGTTTACAGTATGTCGGACGTAGCCACGATGGGAAAGGGAAAAGCTATGATTATTTTACATGACAGTGTACGGTCCTTGCTTTGACATTCAGGTTGTAGGCTTGGACAGATGGGAAAGAAAAGTAGAAACAGTTACACTATATTTTAGTTAAGAGGTATAAGAATAGTCACATCTTTGCAAGACCGCAGTCTGTTTGCAAACTAGGTTCCCAAACAGCCCGCGGTCACCCTACACTGCTGCTCAGGGTTCATCGCAGAGGGTTCGGCATAGAAGTTTATGAAGGGAAAACTGGAGAGGTTAACCTGAACGCCAGTTCTGGTTGGCTACTCTGTACTGGGAATAAGGGGTGGTGGTGGAAAGGAATATATAGTAATGAGAAACAGAGATGGGATGAAAATCGTCAGTGGAGATAAATATAGTGATAAAATCTATGTTAAAGGTCTCGCACACATAGTCTCAGTAAGGCACGTTGCACCACACAAACATATGTTCAGAGATCGGCAGGCGGGAACTGGCGAGACACCATGGCCCGCCAATCTTTTTCATGCTTTGCACAATGCACACCTCTACAATGGCACATGTTTCGTAGTTTTGTGGTTTTGTACTCACTGCTGCAGCCAAAAAGCTCAAAGATGCGTCAAGAGATCTTCCTCAGCCACTCCGCTTAGAGTACTCCACACCCTGAATACAACCCTTTCCCATTGTGGCGATGTCCAACGTATCTTTAGATCCACGTCCCGGGTTTGTCCGACATACCTTTAAATGCAGTGAATAAGAAAACAGGTGAAATGCTCAGAAATCCTAAAATATGCGATCGACACGGACGTCTCCAAAACTTTAGTTTCCTCAAACAATATTGATACCTTTATCGACTTAGAACGAGAAAATCATTAGGTTTTGCAACCAGGCGAATTGAAAATGTCACGTTGTGATCAATACTAGTATACAGTTGA